TAATTCATGGAGACTTAACCTTTCAGGTGGATTTGAGAATGCTTTTTATTTAATACAATTTTGTTTGTGTTCTGAAAACCAAGGACATTGAAGTATTTGTTCCCTGCTGAATAGGGCATTATATACGTGTGTCTTTGTTTTCTCTGAAAGCACCTCTTAACCTTCATACATCTCCTCAGGGCTCTGGCATGTGGGCTTGTTACATATTGTTCCCTCTGTAAGAGACAATGTGATGTGCTCTGACAGGAATGCTGTTATAACAATATCCCAGTTTTCTTAACCCCCTGGCTCCCCTCACATCATCATTTCCATGATACTCCTTTGGCTGAGTCTATGGAGAAAACAAGAAATAATTCATCTTCGTAATAGGAGCCAGGATTTGAAATGGCAAGGTTTTCTCCTAAGAAATCACCAAGTATATTAGTGGCAGACGTGGCGCTCAGCCCACATCTTCTGATCATAGTAGAGAGTGAAGAACAGTGGTTTTCAACTGGAGAGATTTTGTTTCAACTCCCCAGTGTACTTTTGGAAACGTCTGGAGACATTTTCGGTTGTCACAGATGGGGTGGGAGGTGATGCTGCTGACATCACCTGTCAACTGGTAGGGGCCAGGGACGCTGCTAAACATCCTACAATGGACAGGACAGCTGCTGGAACAGAGCATTGTCTAGCCCAAAATGTCACTGGTGCCACTGTTGGGAAACTTTGTTTAAGAGTAATGGAAACTGGACTTGAACCCTGCCCTGCATTTTAGTTTGTGACCTTGGGAAGTGGCTTCATTTTTCAGAGTCTGCTTTCTCATCTGAAAGAACAACACAACTGCCACCAAAAACAAACAAAAAGAGCTGTTCAGAGGTGGACAAAGAAAACTAAGGTGACACGGTAATCTGGATCAGAATTACAGAACAAGCAGGTAGAGTAGTGTGGAAGTCAAGGCTGAAAGAGTTTCAAAAACACAAGTGCAGGCAGCAGTGTCAAATGGCACCGACCAATTAAATGAGATGTGGTGTCCAGAAGGCTTGGTAGCTGAGAGAGTGCTAACTTTAGCATGCAAAGTTAAGTGCAATGCTGAGAAGAAAAACTAGACTCAGTGAGATGATAGATGAATAATAGTTGAGGAAGTGGAAATAAAGGATAAAGATAGAGGCTGTCAGAAAGACAAGCTGTGAAGATTTCCCCCGCTAAGAACAGACAACACGTAAGCACATTTATATGCTTAGAGGAAGGGGACAGTGGATGTGAAGATACAGTACAGAAGAGGGAAAATGGGTAGACCAAGAATGGGATGTAGGGCTGGAACGATTGTTTTAAGGCAAGAAGAGACCAACTTCTCCCTCCAAACTGGGTAAAGAAAGTGAGTGGGGCATGGAAGTAAGCAGATCTGGAGGGATGAAAGAGCATGAGTTCGAGGACGTTCATAGTGGAGAGCCTCACTTTTCACTATCAAATTGTAGGCCAGCTGCTGGTACGAGATACAGGACTAGGAGGAGGGAGGGGCAGGGAGTAACCTTTAAGGACTGGGGAGGGGCACTGACAAATTAGAGAAAGCTGAGTGGAGACCACAGCTCCAGTATGTGGAATCTAACAAATAATACAAATGATTTATTTACAAAACAGAAACAGACTCACAGACATAGAAAACAAACTTATGGTTACCAAAGGGGAAAGGGAGGGAGGGATATATTAGGAGTATAAGATGAACAGATACTACTATTTATAAAATGGGTAAGCAATAAGGATTTACTGTATAGCACAGGAAACTAAGCAGTGTCTTGTAATAACCTATAATAGAAAATAATCTGAAAAAATATAACTGAATCACTTTGCTGTACACCTGAAATTAACACAATATTGTAAATCAACTATACTTCAGAAACAATAATAAAGCATAAAAAAGAAGAAGCTGGCATGGGAGGGATATCTCAAGGTACCAAAGTCACCTTGGGATTCATACCTAATTCTTTCTGGATCAGACACAGAGCCCCAACCATTCTTAGAGAGAAGAAACAGATTAGAAGGATTTATTTGAAAACGGGACAGCATGTGTGGGATGACTGACCAAACTCCAAATTAAACCGGGCATGGAATCATTCATGTCCCAGGGGCCAGTGGTGTCATCTGCTTGTATGAAAGTGAGATTATCCTATGGAATTCTTAGAAAGCCCTCAACATCCAAGGTTGTAACAATGCAGGAGTTCAAGTTGATCTTCCATAATGCCATCGTCTACAAGTGAGACAGTAGAAATGATCAGTGGAATAGGAGTAAAGGAATCATGATGAAACTGCTTTCTTTTGCAGCATCTTGCCTTCTTTCAAACCTGAGTCATGAGTTGGATGTTCCTCAGAGACCTCCTAAGAGGGGTAAATAAATACTCCACAGGGATTGGACGGATTTGGCTGGCTGTCATGTTCATCTTCCGTTTGCTGGTCTACATGGTGGCAGCAGAACACGTGTGGAAAGACGAGCAGAAAGAGTTTGAGTGCAACATTAGACAGCCCGGTTGTGAAAACGTGTGCTTCGACTACTTCTTCCCCATCTCCCAGGTCAGACTTTGGGCCTTACAACTGATCATGGTCTCCACGCCTTCGCTGCTGGTGGTTCTACATGTGGCCTATCATGAGGGGAGAGAGAAAAGGCACCGAAAGAAATTCTATGTCAGCCCCAGCACCATGGGTGGGGGCCTGTGGTACACTTACCTCATCAGCCTCATTGTTAAGATTAGTTTCGAAATTGGCTTCCTGGTTTTATTTTACAAGCTGTATGATGGCTTCAGGGTTCCCTACCTGGTGAAGTGTGATTTGAAGCCGTGCCCCAACACAGTGGACTGCTTCATCTCCAAACCCACGGAGAAGACAGTGTTCATCCTCTTCTTGGTCGTCACCTCATGCCTGTGCATTGTGTTAATGTCACTGAACTGAGCTTTTTGATTCTCAAATGTTTTCTTAAGCGCTGTCTCCAAAAATACTACAAAAGACTTAAGTCCCCAGTGTGTGAGTGCCACAACCTCAGACATATTAAATGTGGTGAGATGGGGGCCCCTCCCCTACTCCAGAAGCACCATTCAGACTCAGCCATGAGCACACCCCAGGGGGCTGAAACTAAGCTGCCCTGTGACACCCAAGAGGGTTAAACAAAGGAAACCTGCCTCCTTCTTAAGCAAGACCTAGGACTCTGGAAAACAAAAGATGTCAGCCTTAATGTCACTAGGGGGGAATTTCTTAAATTTTCAATATGTGCTCAGTTGTACATTCTAGACAGAGGTCTCATTGTTTGGTTATAGGGTTTATGTGGATACATGGGTCGTGTCTGGATAGTTAATTGCGAGTTAGTCTGAAGAAACTGAACTAACAGCATTCTTCTAAGTGCTTAGATCTGTCAATTGGAAAATATAAAAAGTGACACTTCTGACAAATGTGTGGCCTGTAAGCAACAATGGAGGCGCTGGCAATCTTTCCAAAGTGGCAGCCAAGGCTCCACTCACTCAGGCCGACTCAGTCTTTGCAGAGAAAGACTACGGTGAGGGCAGGAGAGCAGCCAACCAGGGCACACAGAAGTACATTCAGTGAGAAGGCCCAGCTTGGGGAAGGGACCACAGAGCCCAGGACCCTTTGCAGCCTAGGTGTCCCTGGATATAAGTGGGATGCAATCCAACGTTTAGTGGTCTCCAAGTGAAATACCAATATTATTGGGAGATACCCACTTAAGCCTAAACTAGCCGACATCTGAAAGGGTCACTCCAGAGTCACGAGGGAAGGCAGGACCCACAGAAGGAAGCACATTGATAGGGAGGGAGCAGGAGCGGGGAAGGACCCAGAAAAAAATATGCCCACCTGATAATGACTGAACACTTATCTCTAACCATAGAACATTGACATACTTTGTAAATTTCCATGTCACTGGGCTTTTTAATAAGCAGGAATTCATAATGTACTATTTGTCATAGTTTGACTACAATTTACAAGTACATCTCCCTCTAGAATAGATAATAAGATGTGTACTGTGCTGTCATATTGGTGCAAAAAATGTTTAAAAAGATGTTTATTATCACTTGATTTGAAGACTATGGCTTACTTTTACTTTCCTACTGAAAAAAGAAAAAAACCACAGGTACATTCTCCTTGGATTTAATTCTCTAACATATGCACACTTCTTCAGGATGAAAATGAAGTGGTTCTGAGGTATTATTAGGCTGTCATTGATACTGTGTTACTTGGGGGCACTGGGCATGATTATTCTGTGAAATAAAACTTGTTCTGACAGTTTTGGAATAGGATTTGCAACCCTGCTTGGTAAAGATAGCTCTGAAATCATTCTTCCCCACTGGGATTTTTTTTAAACGAGAAGTCAGCACATAAAAATGTAATTTTAACTAAAACCAATTATGTCATGTCTTCCGTGGTCTGCCCTCTTTAACCTAAATTGTCTCATTACAGTTCATGCATAATGAAGGTGATTTGTGTCATGACACAGCCCACAGGGGTCATAATCTGTCTTAGCAACTGTGTCCCAGACAGCAGAGAGGACGTGAACTTCGTGGTTTTCCCCTTTCTCTGGTTACACTGCAGATCACTGCAGGACTCACGCACTACGTCCACTGCTCTGCACCATGTGACGTGAAAAAGCCAGCCTTCACAAACACAGATAACCACTGAAGACTTACAGGAATATGTTTTGTTTTTTTTCCCTACAGTAATAGGTGGTTAAAGAGGTTTAAGATTTTGAAGGCCCTGATCATGGCACGGAATCTAGAAAATAGGGTTTTAGTGCCCAGAACTGGAATGGATTCCAGGGAATTTTTCAGACTGAGGATGAATTTCCTGCCAAAATATTTCTAGGGACCTCAGCCTCTTCACGTCAGTTAGGACCGCAAGCTCTGCTCAAGCTAAACAGATTGGTTAGATATCTGCATCCTTGCGTGGAGAGGAGACTGAAAGGTAATGGGAGCCAGGGCCATGCACGGAGTTGTTTAGATAGGAAGGGGAATAATTTGGGACATACATCTAGGAAAAGCAGAATTAAAAATCACCGTTGGTCTTCCTGAAACCACATTCTCCCTGTACCAGGCTTCCCAGATCACTGAACAAATGTCTTCCTAATTTCATTCAAGTCATTCCTGACTCACAGTTATTTTGACTCCCTTGCACTGTCCCTCCAGATCTTACTGGTTACAGACTTTGTCCCTGGCCACAGGGTTTCTTCTGATTGGAGCTGGAGGGAAATTTTTTTCAAGTACCTAGACAAGGAATACCGAGGCCAGCAAGTGGTTATGGTTCCAATCTTCCCAAGGAAACGGAGACAGTTTTCTTCAGACAGACAGACTGCAACGACTAGAGGGGAGCGGGAAAGGCAAAGACCTGCGACGTTTACACTCTTCACCCCTGCTGTCTCTGACGATGGCTCCACCCCTACTGTTTCTGGAGTTTAGTTACATGGAAGATTAATTCCTCACTTTTGTTTAAGCTGGTTTAAATCGGGTTTCTGGGTTTTGCAACTGAAAGAGTCCTAATAAAATCATGTTCTTCATACATTTTCCCCTGTAGAATAGAAAAAAAGAGGTAGGACTCCTCTCTTGTATCAGCCTTTCTTTTTCAGGCTTCAAGCATCCTAACTTTTACACATGTGTATGTACAGAATGTTTGTGTAAATAGGAGGAAAGACGTGGAGGGAGGTCAACTCTGGTTACAATAAGAGAGGGAGAGAGAAAATTTTCTTTATAAACCTTTTTCATTGTTTCACATGTACTTTAGTTTTTAAATTTTTAATAAAGAAAATAAAGCAATAAAACCCCCAAAGCGCCCTGCGTCTTTTTCTAGCTCACATCCCAGCACGTGCATGTAACATGCATGCATATTTCCTTACATACTGATGCCAATTTATCCCTAGTTTACATTTCATTTTGTTTGTACAGTTAATGTGGCACAGAGCACAAAAGAGAGGGCACTTCACAGATCTGTGGACTGGTGAGGAAGGGAAGTGGGGGTGGGGCAGGTGGAGGCAAAAATGTCAGTGTTCATTTGAATTTTGATGATAAAAGCCCCAGGGGGGTGTTCTGGGAGAGACCTGCCAACTGCTCTTTAATATACAATTGGGCCTTTTCTCACAAAGCAAATTTTCCTTCAGCTGCAAAAGACACTGGTGACCGTGGGGAGTTGTGAGACCTGTCTGTTTCCATTGAGCCAGAGAGTCTGATAAACAACTTTCCTAGTCTGAGAAGATGAAGATGATCTTTTAAAATTCTGTTCTGTTCTGTTCCATATATTCTGTTTGAAAGCAAAGGGAAGTGAGTTCTGGATGTTACCCAGATGAGACAACATTCCCATCTACGTACAAGGGAAGTTATCAGATCCTTCCCCCGATGTGGAGATTTTTCTATTAACAAAAAATGTTGTTCAGACAAAAGTAATAAATGTAATTTCTGTTACCTTGTTATCTTCATTATTTTTTTCAGACATTAATGCCTCCTGTCAGAGTAGAGATGGACAGAATGGCTGTGGTATAGGATTGGGGATGGATCTATTTGTCTGTGCAGAATAACAGGCAGCTGAGGAAGTAGATTCCAGATTCCTATCTTGTGGGAAAAGGTCACTGTTAAAACTCTGCAGTAGATTGGGGCCAGAGAAGACAAATATTAAGCAATACAATGTCCACATTCTTGCTATAAAAATGTCATTAACTAGATTGATGATCATCAATTCCCTGAAAGAAGTATCAATCACTAGGTTAGCCAATGCCTTCATTTAACAAGTATTTACCTCAAAGCAGAGTGAGTGCAGTAAATTGAGGCTTGACCTTCTGTGGAAGATTAGCAAACCTGATAAACCAATCTTCTTAGAGAAGATTGCTCCTAATCACATTAATTTGATGATGACATTAAAACTACTGCCTGGCCAAGGTCAAGAATCTTGTCTTACTCACCTCTTCACATTCTCGCAGCTCCACAGCTTGGGTCCCTGGTACCGAAGAGCAGTGTTTCTGGGGAAAAATATCTTTGTGTTCCTCTCACCTCTTCCATCTACCCAATATTTATTCCTCCCTACATGAAAGTTCTGACTTTTGTTGGGGGTGGCAATGCGCCCAGCTTTCAAAAAAGTACATTTCCAAGTCTCCTTTGCATGTAGACGTGGCAGTGTGAAAACTGTCAAAACAACAAGATGTTTTGACTGATGCTTTGGGGAGAATTCAAAAGTGGGGCTGACCTAGCTTGCGTGCTTCTAGGTCAAGGCTTGTTATGTGAGAGACAACTTCTACCTGATGCAAGTCATTGACTGTCTTTTATTTATAGACAAAAACAGTTCCTAGTGATTCGGATGAAGACATAGAAGGCATGCTTATATCTACTGAAGACAAAAGACATTTCAGGATATTGAATGACAAAAGTGAAGCATAAGTTCAATAGAATTTTGTTCAGACCAAGTTAGGTGATACGGAACAAGTAATCATTCTGTATCAAGATTTAATTTTAATACAAGACCAGGATTGATATTAGTTCATGACATAAAGTCCTTGGACTTTTAGCTGTCCATCACCTGAACATGAGCAAAGCGTAGTATGAGACTAATGAAAAAAAGTTTATTGAATCCCGTGTCACTAGCAGTTTGTGTCCAGACTATATGGGATGACTTTCCCAAAGCTTGGAAGATAAATAGCTTATGAGCCAAGGTTTCAGAAACAGGACCAATGGGTGAACATCAAAGAGATAAAGATTTTTGCCTCATATAGAAATGTTCTATTAATTTGAACTGCCTCACAACTATATGATTGCCTGATAAAGCAGTGAGATGCCTAACACTGAAAGAGATGATCAAGAATATTGCTGGACTAGCACAGGGAACTCTATTCAATACCTTGTAATAACCTATAATGACAAAGAATATGAAAAGGAATATATGTATGTGCATGTATGACTGAAACATTATGCTGTACTCCAGAAATTGACACAACATTGTAAACTGACTGTACTTCAGTGAAAAAAAATATGTATGCAAAAAAAGGAGACTTTGTATTGGCTATATCACTATATAAACCTGATACCACAGAAAGGTCTCTGATTAAT